ATGATATAAAAAATTTGTCCCTATAGTACTACCCATTTAAAACATGATTTGTCGTTATATATTTAGTATTTTTCGTTTAATAATGGTTCATTCATAATACTGTATGTTGTATTTCTCCATTCATTTAATAATACATATGCTTATTCAATGACAGAAAATAATTATAAACTTAACATTATATACAATATTTTAACTATAGTACTATGACTAAGAAAATGATTTAAGAATAAATTTTTTTATTACTTTTTGTACAATTTTATATATCATTTGATTGATTGGCTTTTTTTATTCACTTGAAACTTATAATATTAAATACATCTACTAATTTAATGATACATAAAAATTATATAAAAATGAGATAAGAAAATTTGTGCCTATATCATTGCCCCTATGGCTAATTAAATGCTGATATAAGAGAATGATATTCAATAGTTAAAAAGTTATTATCATATTTTAAATAATTAATGTTACATCTTTTAATATGCTTATTATATTTTTATATTATACTTTTTATCAAAATTTTATATTTTTTTATTTTTAATAAATTAAAAAATATAATAATTAATTAAAATAAAAATGTGTAGTATTAGTAATTAAGTGTACACGAATAACATCACTTCCCCTAGCCATCTCCTAACTTATGCTTAGCATATTGTGAAACCCGAACCCTTCGTTTGGATGGGGGAAGTTGGAGGGGAAGGGAGGGAGATGAAGAAAGAGATGCCTCGTTGTCGTATTTAAATTATTGTTTTTAACGAAGGGGGAGAAAGAGGGAGGGAGATATAACTTCTTCCACTTTTCTGTTTTCAATCCCTTTAAGTTGGAGGGATTTAGAGGGATTTAAATGAATTCAGTTTATACATTTATTTTTTTAAATTTTCTTTAAAATTAAATATATAAATATATTTACATCAATTATTTTTTTAATTAATGAATCTTCAGAATTTTATTTTATTTTTTAAAAATTATTTAATTAAATAAACGTATTATAATTTTCTCTCCACTGCCTTTATTTATCACCGATCATTTTCTTCCCTACGCTGCTTCTTTCTCTTCCCCGTCCTTTCCTCCCCTTTACTAATTTTATCTGAACAAACCCTAAATATATAAACTAAAACCCTCCGACTTTCCCAACCATTCTATCTTCTGCAGACCTGAAAAATGGGACGGAAGCGGCCGCCGATTGTAGAACCACCGCCTGTCTCTTCCTCTGAAGTAGAGGAAGAAGAACATGAAGAAGAAGCAGCGTTCCTAGACAATGACGCTGTTCACGAAGATGATGAACATGGAAACGATTCAATCGAAGAAGATGACAGTGAGATGGAAGAGGAGGAGAAAAATGCAGACTCAGACGCCGATTCTGACTCGGACAGGTCTCTCCCGTCTCCCAACGTCTCCGATTTCACCATCAAGCCCATTGTGCCGAAGAGAAACAAGAAACCATCAGCTTCATCGGCCAGTACCGGCGATGAGAAGACAACCCCGTTTCAGCGCGTGTGGAGCGAGGAAGACGAGTTGGCGATCCTCAAGGGCATGATTGAGTACAAATCCAAGAAGGGCACTGATACGTATGCAGATATTGGTGGGTTCCATGATTTCATCAAGAAAACCGTGAGGGCTGATGTGAGCCAGAATCAACTGAAGGACAAAATTCGGAGGCTGAAAAAGAAGTATGAAAATAACGTCGATAAAGGTGTTTCTGCTTTCACGAAGCTCCATGATGAGAAGGCTTTCAGGCTATCCAAAAAGATCTGGGGTGTGGAGACCAGAGATAGTGGTAAACCCAAGAAGAAGGCTAAGGTTACAAACAGTAATGACCAAGATAAGGGTCAGGTTAATGGTAGCTTAACTTTGGGGTTAGCTGCAAGGAAGGATAAAGATGCAAAAGTGGTTGGCATTGAAGAGAATGCGGAACAGAAGGTTGATGAAAAGCATGAAGAGAATGTGGAACAGAGGATTGCAGAGAAGCTTGATGAAAAGCATGTAGAGAATGATGATATTTGGAAGGATTACCCGTACTTGAGAGAGTCCCTGGAGGTGGAGCAAACTTTGGGGATGCCAGATATCTTGAAGAACTTTTTGCGGGAGAAGTTGGGGTTGATTCCAAGGGAGAAAGTGAGGGACATAGAGAGTAAATGGAGGAAACTGAAGCAAGATGAACTGCAGTTGTATCTTGATAGGATTGAATTGGTCAAGGAGCAGACTCAACTGGCCTTGGATTGGATGTAATGGAGGACTGTTGAAGGTACAAAAATATGTTCTTCTTCCTTGCTTTACAGTATTTTAGGAGTTTAATCTTGCAACAACTTTTGTGAAAACTTATCTTTTGGAGCGTTTATGTCAATCTTATGGAAATGCTTTTAATAATTTTTTGGCTCTTTTTTATAATCTTTAGATAACTTAGAAGTCAATCTGTTTGTTTTAGCCTAAACACCGAAAATCTTGAATGGAAACATATGAATATAATGTTCTGAAATGGTTGAAACGCAAAATTATGCATGGAAATTACATAGACAGAGGAATTGCTCTAGTACTCAAAGGACTCCTTGTTCTATGATTCAATTGATGTGAGCTAACAAAAATGCTCTCTTATGTTTCTCCTCTTCGTGTTTTCTGATGTAATCTTCAGATTACCTTAGAAGACAACCAGTTCTTTTTAGCTAAACATAGTTATATGTGAAAAATGATGAAAAGAAATATTCAATGTTCTGAAATGCTTGAAATGCAAATCCATGCATAGGTGGGCGGTACATAAATGTGATAACTGTCCTGAGAGTAGTGTGGTTATGATTCTTTATGAAGTAAAATCCTTTATGCTTCCTGTTCTATCGGTTGTGCCCAATTTCAAGAGAACCTAGTAGTCACCAGCAGGCCTGCATATGGTAAGGGTGCTATGATCAGTTTGTCCTTTGGAAATGCACTCTTTTCTCCAATCTTACGAGTGTTATTGAGCCTCCATTCCGAACTGATGAGCTTTGTACCTAATTGCCTCCTTTCAAATGCTACTTAACATCCATCAATGATATTTGAACCATGGCCAATCTGATTCTGATTCTCTTTATCTTTATGTATCTTACACTGTTTGGTTTTAGAGGAGGTAACCTCCATCTTATTTGAGAAATTTATGAGAGGAATGAGAGGAAAGAAAACCTGTGCTAAGGGGAGGTTAAGAAAGGTACATTTATGGTTCCCCCCAAAGCCA